AAATGATCTTTTTCTGAATATTTCTTGTTAACATATAGTGAGACTATTTCGTCTTGCTTTAAGCTTTATATATTGAGGCTACTTATCAAAAAAAAACTTTATATGYTGAGGCTATTTTGACTCTTGAAATGATATAATTATGCACTTCATGTAAAATGACTTCCTTTGTATATTTACATTATTGTGAAATGTGTACCATAATACCTGATAGCTTTATTATGTTTTTGCATAGCCTCTTCAGCTTTGTTACTCATGCAACCATGCATATTTTTTAGTAGTCTACTATTTTCAAATTTTCTTAGAATCCCTGATTGTTCAATTTTTGAATTTTCAACCTACATCAACACCAATTCAACCCTTTCCACTTGGATGTCTAGTCCATCTACTGTCACTCATCCAACAGTTTGTAGAGGAGTTATTGACCTTGGTGCTCCTACAAATCCAGGTTGTAGTCTCTGTGACTTTTAAGAACTGCAAATATTTGGGATTGGGAGGTTCCCTTTCAACCAACCCATGAAGATCTATCATTTATCTAAACTCGTAGATTACAGAAAGGGGTGGTTTAGAGAACACCAATTGGCTAAAGACCCCACCTGTGTTCTCCTACATGACACTAGTTGTGTTGTTTAGTGAAGTCTGAATGAGCTAGGAGTCTTATGTGACAAATATCTTTGGAGCTCAAAAGTACTCGTTGTGTTCCTTTCTCCACCCTATGTTCATTGAATACATTTTGGACCAAAATACTTTGTCACATATCCAAAAGACCTTGTTTTTATTTTGTATCAATTATTTTCATTAAGATTTGTAATTTTAAATTTAAATGGTTGCATCATTTATCTTTTTTGTATTTCATTCAACTCCCTGTAAATTAATCAAAAACCTTTGAGAATGCTTTTTTTCTATGCAATTATTACATTAAGAGATTGGTGTGGATCTATAAGTATTCATAAGTTTGTGAGCAATCCTTACAGACCACATGTCAAAAAGTAAAGTCCTCTGTGTTTTCTCACATTTGCATGGGTTAAAAATAGATAATTATGTTATCTAATTGGTAAGTAATAGATAATTAATATGTAATAACCCTATCAACTTTTACTTGACATTTTATTTTATCTCTCATTCCCGTGCTGAGCACGGGATACTTCACTAGTATATATATATATAAATGGTATAAATAATATCATATATAATAACAATAATAATATATTTAATATATATAATTGGTGCTAGAGAGGGGTGGGGACTTCATCCCCCCTCCCCATCCCTACCCTTCCAAAGCAATCCCTATAGCCAACCTGATGGGGTCAGGGAGGTCGGTTACCTAGTGGAGATGGAGAAATGGGGTCAGGGAGGTTAGGTACCCAGTGGAGATAGAGAAAATTGTCATCCCTAAATCTTTACTTCGTGGAGGGGTAGATGATGAATTTTAAGTTYGAAAATTGACTAGGTAGGGTTTTTAAGGGTCATGGATATATTAGCAGGGTTTGATTTGTTCAAATGTGTTTGGATTAAGAGAATCTGAGATACGAGTGTTTAGACCTACGAGAAAGTCTGAAATAAAATCTTTATGTGATTGAGGGGTAAATGAGGGAATTTTCAGATGAAAATTGACTAGGTCAGGTTTCTAAAAGTTCTAGATAAATTGACAGGATTTGATTGGTTTAGAGATATCGAGATCAAAAGAATTTGGGGTACAAGTTTTCTAACCAATAAAAAAGCCCATAATAGAATCTTTATCACATGGATAGGCAGATGGAGGAATTTTGGGCTGAACTTTAACTGGGTAAAGTTTCTTCTGGTTCTAGATGAATTGGCATGGTTTGATAGGTTCAGAGATGTTAGGATCAAAATAATTGCTAGTGTTTTAACCAATAAGATAGCCTAAAATAGAATCTTTATTTGATGGATAAGCAAATGAAGGAATTTTGGGTTAGAATTTAACTAGGTAGGGTTTCTTAGGGCCAGGTTCAAATCGGTAGGGTCTAATTAGCTCAAATGTTCTCAAGGAATCTGAGGTATGAGTATTTTGGCCAATGAGAAAAGCCTAGAATATAATTTTTATCTAATGGATTGCAGATTGAGGAATTTTGAGCATAAACTTAATTTGGTAGGGTTTCTGAATGTCTTGGACAAATTGGTAGGGTTTGATTGCTTTAATTGTGTTCATATTAGGGGAATATGAGGTATAGGTATTCCAACCAATGAAGAAGCATGAAATGAAATATTGACATAATAAAGGGTAAATGAGGGAATGCCTAGTGAAATTCTTTGAATAAGTGTTTGAAGGTGTTTGGGATTTGATGAGAAACATAGAATTTTAGTCGAATAGGCAGAATAGAATATTTGACGACTGAAAAACCTTAGGTCACATTGGGTTGGACAATATGAGGTCTTGGAATGGAATCTTGGATTTTTTATAGGTTAAATGGAGAATTTTTGTTGTAAAATTTTGCAGGTTGTCTAAGTGTGGRCTTTTTGGCTTAAAGGTAGTGTTTGATGTGATTGGTGGGATGCGGTTGAGTGGTTTTATGTTTTAATCGAGCACAGAATCTTTAATTGGTGGATGATGGAAATTTGGAGTTTGGAGTTGAGATTTGATCTGAATATGTATTTTGGAATTCCTTATTGAATGATCAAATCTGATTCGATGGTCACAGTACGAGTGGGGTCTGGCTCAGGCTATCAGGTTGGGGTCAAATAAGGTCATCAATGGATTTTAAGGATTATGGGCTAAGGTTTRGGCTTTTTTGTTTTTGTTTTTGGTGTTTTAGGGAGATCGGAATGGTTTGATCGAGTGTTCGGAGTATGTATTGAGGGTTTAGGAATTGATCAAGCAAAAATTGAGTGCTAACAAGAATGATAGTAGAGRAAGGTTAATAGTTATAGAGAAGGGAGATAGAATTTTGGAGGGAAAAGTGGTGGGAGAAGGAGAGGGGAGCGAAAATTTGGGCTCCCTTCCCATAAATGAGTCTACTGAGTGTATTAAGTTCCCGTGTAGGTACGAGGCCCTATTTATGATACTTTCACATTAACAATTATTCTAGAATTTTTTTCCCTCTTTTGTTATTAATGATCCATCTAGAAGTTTAAGATTAAGAATCAACATAAGTGACCAACCAATAAAGGTTTGGTCTACTATTTTGGGTTAAACGAGGTGGCTTAGTTGTAGGTTTAAGTCGGGTTAACCGGTTTATAGGCCTTTATAAATCCATGTCTTGCAAACTTTTCACTTAATCTTCTAGCCTATACTAAACAAAAAGAATTAGGAAGAATCCCATGAGCTCCAAAAAGAATTATTTTCCCAATTTGAAATAAAAAGAAAACATGTATTTTCAACAAAAAAAAAGACTTCATAGAAAAATAAAAGTAACATTATAAGGAAAACTTGGTACATTAGTGCATTGAGTATAACTTTAGGTAAAACACTTAAACTACCCTTAGATTTTGTGAAATTGACTAACTGTACCTATTATTTACAAAAATGACTTAAATTACCCCTAAGTTTTCTGATAATATCTCAAATACCTCTCATCCGTTAGTTCTTTATCACATTCTATTCACATGTCGCATCAAATGACTAATATAATATTTTTAAAATCCAAATTTTCCCTCTTTTTCTCCATCATCTTAATCACTAAAACCCATCTTTCCCATCACCAAATCCCGTATTCACCACCAATGAATAATAAGAACATAAAAAAATCATGGGAAAAGAATATAAGAATTGTTTCTTTAATTTTTCAAAAACTTATTGTCTAGATGGTCAAAACAAGAGGGGGTGAATTAGGTTCTTTCACTTTTGTATGTCAACTGAACGACTTTTAGAACCTTTGGATGTGAATCTGATGTTGTGGAAAAGTAGTGTTGTAGAGAACCCAGTAACTGAGGCGTGTAAGTGTGTGAGACAAAACAAATAACAAGAAAAATATACTAAACATAAGATTTTTATAGAAGTTCAACCAAACCTGCCCTACATCTTTTCCTTAGGCATCCTCTTAACAGTTTCCACTAACCAATTAACTCCCTACATGCTAGCAAAACCCTTATATATAATTGGTTGGACTTTCAAGTACCAACCAAATCTTGGATAGTACTAACTAAATTTACGGTGTCAGCACCCAATTTTTGCTCGATCTTTTGTTTGAACCCCCAACTCACCCTTGAACACCGATAAAACCATTTTGACACTACCGAAACCCAGAGAATCCAAAGAACCCCAAATCCTCAAAATCCACTATTAATCTAACCTAATACTAAAATTACCAAAATACCCCTTGATCAAAATTGCCAAAATACCCCCTCAAAGCCAAATTTACCAAAATACCCTTTTTCTAAAATCCCTCAAATACCCTTTGACCAAGCTACCAAAGTATCCTTTCTTTCCAAATTCCCAAAATGCCCCCTTGATCAAAATTACCAAAGTACCCCCTCAAAGCCAAAATTACCAAAATACCCTCAACCAAATTTCCAAAATACACTTGACCAAGCTACCAAAATATCCTTTCTTTCCAAATCCCTAAAATACCCCCCTTGATCAAAATTACCAAAATACCCTCGACCAAATTCCAAAATACCCTTTTTCTAAAATCCATAAAATAACCTTAACCAAACTACCAAAATATTCCTTCTTTCCAAATCTCCAAAATACCCTTGATTGGAATTACCAAAATACCCTTATTGGCTAAAAGGACCAAAATACCCTTCATTCACCAAATTACTTGAGTACTCTTCTAAACCTGCCCCTTAAAACCCCAAAATTACCAAACTGCCCCTCTTACTCCAAATTATCCTAACTTACCAATGAAACCTCCAAATCCTAACTTACCAATAATAGCCCCCTTTCAGTTTGGAAGCTTACGGAAACCTCCCTCTCTTCCCATTATAAATGGAAAGCATCATTCCCAAGAAAGATAGAAGGGAAGGGAGCTAAAGAAATGAGAAAAGGTCCCTTTCATATTTGAAATAAAGAGAGATGGGGCTCAAGTGAGATAGAGAAAAGAGAGAGACTGAGGAGAAGAAAAGAGAGATACTTTATGAAAAAAAAAAAATAGAGAGAGATGAATGAAGGTTCTGAGAGTGAAAATGGTGAAAAGAAGAGATGGGAAATGTMTCCTTGAAGTGAAAGAGAGGGAAAGATGAGCTGAAGTTCAGAAAAGGGAAAAACTCTATTCACAGATCCTACTCCCTAGTATGCGCGTCAAGCCCTGGAGAAGAGTTCTCCAGATTGGCGGTTGAGTAGGACGAGGAACCCTTGTCTCCTCCATTTCTCTATTTGCAGAACATCTCACTATTGGTGGTTGGTCTTCACCATCCTCTTGCTCAAAGTCAAGTCGGAACGCCTTACCTGAGAAAAATCTCCCAAAACATTGACCCCCAAAGCTATCTCGCAACATTATTAATCTGATCCACAGGCCACAAGAGGTAAAGATCGATTACCTCATATTCGCAAGTTTCTATTCGAATACGACTCAATGTTTTGATTGTAGTTCTAGTTTGCTTCATTCATTTTCATTTTTATTTCATTGCATTTTATTACCTGTAGTTGTTCTCTACTGGCTTAATCTTTTTTTTTTTCTACCTTGCATTAAAGTTCGAATATGAGAACTTGTGCATTCTCCAACATCTGAGAGGCACATGCTTCTTCTTCCTTTTGACCAGCCAGCCGAGTCTGAAGATGGGGTTCTGATAGCAAAGGAGCAATCCCTCGTCCTTTTGTTCAAGCCCTTGCCTCTACAAGGGGGTTGGTCTGCAAGCAAAGGTAGAGGCATTTTGTTCCTTTCGAATGGTTAGAGGCATTTTGGCATTTGCACTGAACAGAGAGAGGGATGCCTAACCCTTTCTCTCTCTCTCACACACACACACACAGCTTACCCAGAATTGCCTTGTCTTGGCTAAATGGTATGGAATCACTAGCAGTTCCAAAATGTTTTACCAAATACAAAACCGGGAGGCCCATCACTGCCAATTATCTATTCTGATGGGTGGCAACACCATCTGATCGGCCATGAAGCAAACTGCCGGTATTTTCCCAACAACCACAAAGTGTTATCCTAACCTTATTCCCTGCCTCCACCTTTCACACCTTGAAGACTCGATGCCAATGGATAGTTTTACAGGTCCTATCCAAAACTTTTACATTCTCAAGGATATAATATTACAAGCACGAGAAACTACAATTCCTTCTTAATAGGGTGATAAAACAATTGCAAGGAAACTAACCAACATACAAGATAATACAAATAAAACTCTGGCTTGAATGGGGCTTTTCTCTTTCCATCTCAAGGAAAACTTAAAAGGTCACTCTTCTTGTTGGCTCATATTTCCCTCTAGTTTTTTTGCTAAATCTTTCGAATCTTGCATGGTTACCCTCCCTTTATTTCTTCTTCTTAGATTTTATTGAATGGGGCTTTTCTCTTTCCATCTCAAGGGAAACGGTCACTCTTCTTGTTGGCTCATATTTCCCTCTAGTTTTTTTTTTTTTTTTTTTTTTGCTAAATCCTTCGAATCTTGCATGGTTACCCTCCTTTTATTTTTCTTCTTAGATTTTATAGCCAAAACAATATGGTCGTTATTTACTGTTACTGGACCATCAGAGGTTGATTAATGCTCTATTGGAAAGCTCTAAAGGTGATTTTTTAACATGTTTCAAACATTTCCCAAAGAGGAAAGAGTCTTTGGTGCTCAAAGAATTGAAAACAAATCATGTGAGAAACTTTTCTTCGTGTAGTAGTCGACTGCTTATTCTACCCAGACACTGCTACCATAGGTAGTTGATTATTGCTTTGGGGTATTTGACTACTATTTCCTGACTGCTTCCTAGTAGCGTAGGTAGTTGTCGACCGCTTATTCTACCGACACTGCTATCATAGGTAGTTTATTATTGCTCTGGGTAGTCGACTATTGGTTCTTGGCTGCTTCTTGGTAGTCTACTATTGTGAGAAACTTTTCTTCGCTCAAAGAACTGAATCACCTCATAGGTAGTTAATTATTGCTCTAGGGTAGTCGACTACCAGTTCCTGACTGCTTCCTGGTAGTCTACTACTGACTGCATCCAACCTTAGAAAACTTTAGTAATCAATTCCTAGGGATTGGGAATCAACTCCAAATTTAGAATTTTCACAATTTAGCCCAATTTTGAATATGATAAGAGCCTAAAACATTTTCTAAGCTTATCCATTGTTAAAACTAGGGTAGGTCTTAGTAAAGCCCATATATTGTATTCTTGCAACTGGTTACATCAAGTTCTAAGAAGGTAAAAACAAATTAAGAGTTTGGAGCATGTTGTCTTTTTTCTTCTTCTTAGTAGCCATATTCTTTCTAGCAGGTTCATCAATTCATCATATGAACCAACTGCACTTTCTTGCCTTAGATTAATGGTTGTTTCTTCAACTATTTTGAGCTAAACTAAGAATCGTTTCTCTATGGCTGCCGACATTACTTTTTAAACTATTAGTACTCTTAATGAGTCTATTATTATCAAAACAAACACATAGCACCAACAAAACCCACTCTTGAAATTAAACCATTTGCATTAGGAAAAGAGTTCCACACTTAAAACAAAATGCAAAACAAAGACTTGCAAAACCTGGACCACACTCGAAGGGGAATCAAATTACCATTTTGGGTTTGGGAATTAGAGATTGTGAACTCAAGAGATGGCATAGGAGTGGAAATTGAGTGATGGGCTGTGGAGAATGAGGCCCAACTCAATCGATCATCCTCCAATTTTGATCTATGGCACTATTTGGCAAGTCTTTGCAACTATCATTTACTACAATCTAATCTTTGGTCAAAGTACTACCTCTACTCTTACCATTTTCTTTTGTAACCTTATTACCAACCAAGGTTTTACCTCTAATAATTAAAGTTGTGCTTAAAACATCACATGACTTAATCAATCCCATGTCAATCCACCTCTTAAGCCACAACTTATCCTTAATCAAAGTTTCTTCCTCATAGTTGTCAAGGCGCCTAGGCTATTCTTGGTGACACTGGGGTGCCTAGTCATCTAGGGGGGCGCCTAGGCTTTGCCTATGTGATAAAAAATATATAATATAAAAAACTAACTTTTTGCTAGTTCCCTAGTTTTATATATGATTCAACATGTATATTAATTGAAAAAATGGCAAATCTCTTTAATAAGAACTAAATTTCCTCTAAAAATGTGGCAAATATCTCATCTAAAAGATAAAAATCTTTTACATATACTAATTTCATTATTTTCAAAAATATTACAACTATAAAGTATTTAAAAGAGCAATTTCATATCAATTAGCTGGTAGTAGCTAAATAAGGTTATTAACTTTATATGATAAATTCAACATGGAAAGTTAAATAGAGAAAACAAGGATGGAGTTTTTGTTTTATTTAATTAGAGAGAGAATAGAAAAAACTCTTTATAATGTTATTCTTTCTTTTCTCTCATCAAAATCCTTTGATCTTTTAAATTTCAATAACAAAACATTAAAACAAGGTACAATTCATATATATAGCATATAATAAAATATTTTAAGGCATACATTAATAAGATAAAACAATATAAATGATATTATAAAAGGCACCTGCCTTGTCATTTTTGTCGCCTAGGCGAGTGCCTAGTTGCCTAGAAGGGCACCTAGTTGCTAAAAGTCAAGGAATTTGGGTGAGGCTCGTAGCCAAGGGCACCTAGGCGATGCTTTGACAACTATGTTCTTGCCTAAATATTGTTTTTAAGCCATTACCCAAATGTCACTTTAAAAGTTTCATGAAGTTCTTTAGTCAATAGGTTATGCCAAAAAAAACTTCATTCATAATAGAAAAAATCAAACATTGAACTAGTGGAGTGAGCAAAAGCTGAAGGCCCCTTATTTAATGAATCATCTATATATTCCAAGAATGTTTTCCACACCACCTATGTCATAGGTATGGTTTTTGTTTAGTCTAGGTGATAGTAAGGGAATGGTTTCCTACAATAGAACCTTAGTCTTTTTTATTAAGGGTAAAAAATTAAAACCTCCCCTGAGGTTTCTAACAATAAAAAAAAGCTCCCCTAAAGTTTCATTTTAATAAAAATCTCCCATGTAATTTTGAAAAATACAGTAGTTGCCTCCCTTCCGTCATTGTCCCAGCTAGAACACATTGGCCTAATGCATTAATTTTTTTGAAAATACTAAATTCTATCCTTATACCTATCAATTCAAATGGAGATTTGGCAAAATACTTCAAAAAAAACTTTTAATTTTTAACTAAAAAAAATYCCTAGGTCAAATTAAAGAGTAGACTAATTTAATTTTGTAAACTCGTTATGATTGAGTGAAGTCTAAAAGGACAAATCTGGCATTTTGATTATACTAAAATATTTTATAACAGATAGTAAGGACAATTTTGTAACTTCAATGTCTCTATCATGGAGACAATAATATTTTTTTCTTGATAATGAACTGAGATAATGATGGAAGGGAGGTAATTACAGAATTTTTCAAAACTATAGGGGATGTTTTTGTTAAAATAAAACTTTAAGCGATGTTTTTATGATTGACAGAAACATAAGGGGAGGGGTTATTATATTTTACCCTTTTATCAATTCATAATTTATTAAGCTAATAGGAAGACTTTCCACCCATGATATGCACATGATAATCGGAGTCTCTCTTCCTATGTTTCTTTTTGCAACATCACCATGATGTATTCAAGATGTTGAGCATTTAGCTTCTTAGCATCAACTTATTCTCTAGTCATAACAATCTTTCTAATCCCTCTATATTTTCCTTCTCTAAATATAACTTGGACTAAACCTCAATGGTGAACGATGATTTGTTAAGCCTGATTAAAGCAAAGTTTCCTCCCATGATGTATTCAAGATGTTGAGCATTTAGCTTCTTAGCATCAACTTATTCTCTAGTCATAACAATCCTTCTAATCCCTCTATATTTTCCTTCTCAAAAGAAAACTTGGACTAAACCTCAAAGGTGAACGATGACTTGTTAAGCCTGATTAAAGCAAAGTTTCCTCCCATTAATCATTTAAGCTAATACAACTACCTAAAGTTTTTTTATTAAGGGTAAAATATTAAAACCTCCCTTAAGTTTTTAATAATCATAAAAACCTCCCCTAAAGTTTCATTTTAATAAAAATCTCCCATGTAGTTATGAAAAATACTGTAGTTACCTCCCTTCCATCATTGTCCCAACCAGAAAACATTGGCCTAATGCATTGATTTTTTTGAAAATACCCAATTTTACCCTTATGCCTATTAATTCAGATGGAGATTTACCAAAATACTCCACAAAAACTTTTAATTTTTAATTAAAAAAAATTCCCAATGTCAAATTAAAGAGCAAACTAATTTAATTTTGTAAACTCGTTATGATTGAGTGAAGTCTAAAAGGACAAATCTGGCATTTTGATTATATTAAAATATTTTATAACAAATAGTAAGGACAATTTTGTAACTTCAATGTGTATCATGGAGACAATAATTTTTTTTCTTGATAATGAACTGAGATAATGATGGAAGGGAGGTAATTGCAGGATTTTTCAAAACTATAGGGGATGTTTTTATTAAAATAAAACTTTAATGGAGGTTTTTATGATTGACATAAACCTAAGGGGAGGGGTTTTTATATTTTACCCTTTTATTAATTCATAATTTATTAAGCTAATAGGAAGACTTTCCACCCATGATATGCACATGATAATCGGAATCTCTCTTCCTGTGTTTCTTTTTGCAACATCACCTTGATGTATTCAAGAAGGTGAGCATTTAGCTTCTTAGCATCA